AATCTGTGCAAAAGACGAATCTTGCACCTAATCGCTGAAGAAAAAAACACATGAGCAGAGGGTTCTCCGCTGCGTAAGTTAATGTAACAAAGATGATTGGAACCATTAGTTGTGCCTCAGGTGATAGTTTCAGGGAAGAATGACATGATTTAACTTGAGGGCAGAGCAACTCCAACGAAGTTAAAATACAAAAAAACTGCAAGAAGATAGGTTACAAAGCTTCATGTTTCACTTGAAAGCAACAGAAAGAAAATTACATTTTCAACTATTTGTCTAACACCAAACCACGGTGTATCACTGAAGACAACACTTATTATTAAAAATATAGTAAACAGGATTACAACCGCATGTGGATACACTGTAATTTCTTATTTCTTTGTAGTACAGTTGCATCACCTAGTGGACAATACAGAGATTGCATTAATTTTACAGAGTGTGGTTTTGGGGTTCGTTGAGTATCTTTGTTTTTCCACTGAATATAGCTCATTGCACTGCTTTCTAAAACTTAAATCTGGAATTACAGATACCCACTAAAATATTCAGTAGAATGAATTGGAAATGTGTTTTTCCTTTTCACTCCAACCTGCAACAAACTGGTGCTGTCTAAGCTTTGCTACAGGGAGGAATAAAATCAAGTTCTTCTAGTTGAATTCAGCTGTGATTTCCCTGCTTTTGTGCTGAAATGATACAAATCATTAATTTCCCGTGGTTCAAAACTAATTGCCAGTCCAAACTGAGGGAAAATTCGTAAATATCTTAACAACTTTAATTCATATTTATGGTGTAAAGAAACCAAAAATTTCTTTCAGGACAATTTCTCTCCATCTTAGAGTTCATTATCTTCATCTCTTTAATCACAGACGTGCTGAGTGTAAACACACACTTCAAATTATGCCAAAGTGTGACATCTTTAAAGGGATATTCTTTCCCTTCTAGGTGGGGAGGGGCTATATACCCTGTGAGACATCATTTTTAAAAGCTCTTGCTTTGGGAATGTCATTTTTTAAATGTTTTTATAGTGTACCTAAAAGCTTTAATTATCAGGGTCTGAGAGTTGATACTCCCTTATCTTGTCCTGAAACAGACAGGTCTAAGGGCACTTAGCAATGATGGATGATCTCCACACAGTACAGCTGAAGAAAAGCGTAAACTAGAAGCCACTCTCTGCAGAAGATCAAAGAAAATCCATGCCATATTTACATGAATTGACACAGGAAAGATATTGTCATGAGGTTTCATGTTTATCATTTTTCAGTGACTTCAGACTGCACTAAATCAACTCCCTTGGCTCAAAAAAAAAAAAAAAAAGAAGAAAAAATTAGGCTGTGCTATTTCTGCCTCACACTGTTATCACAAGAAATAAAGCTTCTTCCCAGTACACCTGCCCAAACCCAGCATCTTCACTGGTGTCTCAGAACGCAGCCCTACCTTACCTCTCTCTGAGTAGTGCTGCGCAAGCTGCAAGGGAACCTAGCTGCTCACTGCCACCAGGTTTGTGTTGCTAATGGTAAATAGCTGGGGTTTATGGCTACTATTGCTGAGGTTTGCAGACGTGATCTGAAAGAAATTTATACAAAGGGGGAAACGCTGTCTTTCCACACTAAGATCACAGCTAAATCCCTTCTTAGACTAACAGAGAGCCAAATGTTAACACCACATCACTAAAGCTAAATGATTAAGATGTTTGCAGCTCAAAGGGCCTCTAGTAGGAAAAAAAGTAGAAGCTGAGAGTAAGCATTTCCCTGTTTGAAGACTTGATTTAGTGTTCTGTAAGACAGCTGGAGAGCACCCACAGTGCAGCCACTTCTTCAGGCACCCCGGCTCTTAGCCCTGTCTTGCACATAATTTAGGTGTGATCCAGAAAAGAACTTAAGCTTTTGCTGACTAGACATACATACACATACACATAAATGCTTAATCATGACCTATGTTATGCTGGTTTACTCCTGAGGAAAACCCATTGCTATTGCTGTGTGTTACTAAAGTACTAGTTCCAATTCCATAGTTTATTCAGGCAGGATTTTACCTTTGACATTAAACACACATGGCTCTATTCAGAACACTTGCTGCAGTGCTTAAAGTAAAGCCTGGGGCTTACTGCTGTGCTTACATGCAAGAGACAGACAAGCAATTCATACTGCCTGCTCCCCTGCACTGCCAGATCCCCCTCCTACGCACCCTGGAGTGAGTGTAGGAGTTACAGAAGCAGAGCCCATATTCAAACCACCTGGTAGAAATGTGTAGTTTGTAGCGCACTACTGAAGCAAATAAGCCTCTGTCAAAAAGTATCCATCTTGCCACACACATTGTACAGAAGCTGTTCTTAAAATAGGCCTCTCTAGAAAAAAAGGGGGGAAAAAACCCAACCAAACATCCTTATACTCTTTATCACAGAATCACAGAAGGGTTTGGGTTGGAAGGGACCTTAAAGACCATCTAATTCCAACCCCCCTGCTATGGGCAGGGACACCTTCCACCAGACCAGGTTGCTCAAAGCCTCATCCAGCCTGGCCTTTAACTCCAGTACCATCTCATTATAAAATTCTAAAATGAGAAACACATCTGTTCTTAGAGGATGAAAAAGTTTTTTATTAGAAGAAACCAAGAGGCCAAACAGCTCAGCTGTAATCATCAAAACTGCAGGACGTGTTCTAAGCAAGGTCCCTCTAGCCCAGTACCCTGTTTCCCACGGTGTTGCCAACACCTCAAAGAGCAAGTACAGGCTGAGCGTACACAATACTCACCACCAACACCCTCCAACCTTCAGGCAGTTTGAGACCAAGGGACAATGAAGACCAAAGTCATTTGTCTGGCTGTTAACCGCCAACAGTTTGTCTTCCATGCCTCTGTGCTCTGTACCATGTCAACTCCTGTGTCCATGTTCCTTATTAACCTCCACAGATTTGTTACCACATTGTTAGTTTTGAACCTGACTTCAAGCTTCCTTTGAAAGCTCTCGCACTGTGAACGCCCAGTCACCATCCACCCTCTTCACGTCGTCCATCACTTCCGTAGACCTTTTGGCAGACCTACTCAAAATGAACGGGCATCAGTCACGGGGCCAGGGGCTCAGCCCCTCTCCCTCTGCTGCAGCCAGGTTCAGTGGTACAGGAAGACCCTCATGCAAGCCGATGGGAATTGCCCTTTGCAAGATTAGTGGAGATTGCACTCCCAAGTTCACGCGGTCATCTCATCCCACGAGGTACTTCAGAATGGTACTGCCTAGAGTATAAAATATGGTGCCAAGTGACTTGCAGGGGTTAAAGCCACGGTTTAGGCAAATATGAATGTAAGTTGGCTCAAAGGATGTAATAAGTGTGCTTCTAGCTCCAGAAAGCACTTCAGTTCCTCTTCCAACCCATTCACCCTGCCCTCTGCTCCAAAATGTAAAGTACACACACACTGTCAGCATCTCCAGATGAACAATACAGAAAGCCTGAGAGTACAAAAGTCTCAGTGCATTAGGGTAAACAAGGCAGAAAATAGCTTATTTTCAGAATTTCATAATGCTAGGAACCCCAAACCCAAGAACTTCTGGGTTTGGAAACGGTAACAGCAAACAGACTTCTGAGTTCCCCTAGTCTTTTGAACTTAAGTCAACATACTCTCCTATTAGGGAAAGGCCCTTCTCAGAGCTCCAGGTATCAAGAAGTTTCCTGCCCCAAACAACAATGCAGAAAAAAACCAGGGAAAACTCCTGGAATCCTCAAATCCAAGTAAGTTTACACAACAACATTCTTGATGACAAGGCACCAAAGAAAGTCTGACAGTGCATTTAAGCTTGAGTATTTAACAGCTTTCACTTGCTACCTTTTTTCCCTTAAATCACATCATTAGCTGGAATGCCTTTACTGCTGTATACGATTTCATTTATTTCATAAATAGAGATGTCTTGTGGAAAATGAAGCAATATGTTTACAAAAATAAACACTCTTTAAAAAACACAGTTCTTAAAAATGCTAAAGAATCAGTAACGAAAAATTCTACGAAATGTGATTGTTTTCCATTTTGGGGAGAACCACAACACAATCACAATTATAAATTAAGTTTATACAGCCTAGATAAGGGTCCTGCCCTGAAACGCCCTTTGAAGAAGTCTCTCTCTTTTCTAAAGGACTTCTCCCTTTTCTAAAGGATATAGGGAGTTCAAGCTCCCTACTTTAGTAGAACTAATACCGAAAGGCACCTCATGAGACTAGCCCCTTGTTGACAGGATAGGAACAGGATTTTTCAGTGTCACCAGAACTGAATGGAAACAGAAGGAATTGCCTGGGTGGCCTTCCCAAGGAGAGTTCAAAGTAGTAACATCCTTTCAGCTCTCATTCTCAGCAGGAGAACTAGTGAGTCTGGAGGGAGCTTTGAGAGTGAAAGAGGGAAATTGACACTTACTTACATTCAAGAAACACTCGGGCTGAAACTGTGAAGGGAATGATTAGGAGTGGGTCGTAACAGGGTGGATCTGTGCTCCAGTCTGCATCCATCATCACCGCAATGAACCGGCACTACATGAACTGCCAAGTCTTGGGGACGTGTACAGATTTCAGGGAAAAAGTAAAGGGTGAGTACAGGGCAAATATAAGTGCCTCTGTCCTCTTCCTCTCTGTCAAGTGTCAGAGCTCAAATACATGCTGCGGGCTATTTGCTTGACCCTATGATCCATGCTTTAGCCACACAGGCAGCTGTGAAGTCTAGGCCTGCTGGAGGCCACACTCCTGGGGTGGTTCAAATTACCCCAGAGGCTACTGTCCTCACAGGAAGGCAATTTGGATGGGATGTGACAAAGCCACCTGTTCCCCCCGAGAATTTGGGCAGACCTTTTACATTACTAAACAAGGCCGGCAAAGAACAAAACAAGACTCTGGGTCCTGTGTGAACAACGCTAGTCACATTTGGATGACTTCTTACATTCTTTGCTGCTCAGGTCCATTAAAACAGTTGAGCAAGGCACATCCACGGCAAATGTGATTCAATCAGCCACAGCTATCACAGCTCCAGACGGGTCAGGCTGTTGCCACAGTCGAACTGCGAAGAATCTCAGCTGATTTTTGTAGTACCTTCAGATCTTCCAAGCGTAGTGCTTCCACCAAAGCTAGGTGGTTTCTGAGGTTCTCTTTGCTCCTTTTCAACTGGGAAATCTGAAAGTGATACAAATGGGATAAAATTACCAAAAATTCAGATTATTTAACATAGGACATGAACATAAAATTTGCAGAAAGGTCATCTATGGCAGGGTTCCATGAACTATGTCAGAGTACAGTATTTTTATTAATCTTCCACAAGAGAAACTGCAAAATAAAAAAAAGAAAAAAAGAGGGGAAAGAATTATCAAGTTGATAGGAAGCAGATCAAAAACAAGGAGAGGAAGGGAATGGAAATGTTTACCTGATACCAGGCTCCTAAGTCAATACTATCCTCAAGATGTTGCTCAAGACCAGATTGACCTCAGAGTCTGTGCATATACATGTTTCCTTTGCAAAAGTGTAGTTTTAACAACTCTTTTCTATGATAGCTATCCAACCTGACATTAAGTACACATGTTGTTTGCCAAAATTCAGAGAGGAAGGGCAGGTTGTTTTTCTCAGAGTACAGACCTCCCTCACAGGAGACTGGCTGACATGAGTAGCTCATTTGGCCTGACTGGCTTTAATGAAGACAGCCTTCGCTTTCTACAACAGGGCACTCACAGCAGGTGTGCAAGATCTTAGGTGCCACCTCACACAAGCCTGGGTTTTCTTTTAAGAGGTAACCCCAACAAACACCACGATACTGTAGGCAGAGCAAGGCTAAACACTTTTCACTTCTTCACAGAGCTGTGTATAAGCTTTCCAACACAGTTCCTTGCTTTGCTGTAGCCACAAATTCTGCTGAGCAATTTAACA